AATACATATTAACCTACCGGTAATTTTATTTTAGAAATATTATTTAACAATTGGATATATAATGTGAGTGAAATTCAAATCACAATACTACAATCTTTAGTTTTGCTAAAGTAAATAATCCCATTCAGAAAACACTGAATGAAATTCATTTCAACCTAAATAAAATGTGCTAGTATTGCCATCATCAAAAGCTCTTTGCTGTAATAAGTAACTATGACAGCCAGGTGGTCCAATTAAACTTCTGTAGTGAAAAATGTATTTTATGAACTTCAATACGTTCACAACAGAATACAAAGTATTAATGTTTAATTTAAGATAGTTTAAAGCTAGTACCAAGTATATTTTTCATACTATTAAATGAAAATACTATTTGGCAGCAAATTAAATTAACTGTGGATAAAAACAAAGTGTATCTGAATTGAAATATTTGCTCCCGTTTCTTAATTTATATGAACATTAATAAAAGGAACTTTATTTACCAAATTACAGGAGTAATCTGTTTGAAAGCCACTTTATACAATAGAAATGCATTATTCAAACTCAGATTTAAAACCTTGTCACATCCAGTCACTTTGTTTTCCTACCATGTCAAGTAGGGTCTAATAATAAAATACTGAGAATTTATATAGCCCCAATCAGTCTCCATCAGTAAAAAAGCAGATGACATACAATGAAGTCACAGTCAGAACAGCAGAGCTGAACAGGTAGCTAAATCTAATTGAAAGGCAACACTAGTTCTCTAACCTATCTATTTTTTTCATCAGTATGGCTCCACTGTTCTGTACAGAAATCATAATCCATGGGGTCCCTCACCAAACTTGCTAAAGAAGGTAGAGTTGTTTTGGGAGGGAAGGGAGGCAGAAACCTCCCACTGCTGGCACACTTGGTGAGCTAGCTATGCCTTCCCTAAATAATATTTCCAAAGATGATACAAAACTAGAAATGTTGGGGTCTTTTTTTGCAAACTAGGATTGAATAAAACACTCATAACCATTGTGCAGATGCCATTATTGTGACTATTTCAGCAAGCATGCCAGCAGGAAAAGGTATCCGCTTAAAAAAAAAAAAAAAAAACCCCACTCTTCCTCCATTTAGCTATCTGGCCCTCCAGACGTTTTAAATCTGGCCCTCAAGCTCCCGGCAGGGAGTGGGGTCTGGGGCTTGCCCCACTCCGCACAGCTCCCAGAAACAGTGGCATATTCTCTCCCCTCCAGCTCCTACGTGTAGGTGCAGCCAAGGGGCTCTGCACGCTACCCCCACAGCTCCCATTGGCCGGGAACCATGGCCCATTGGAGCTGCACGGACGGCGCCTGCAGAGAGGGCGGCGTGCAGAGCCACTTGGCCGCGCCTCTTCGTAGAAGCCGGAGGGGGGACATGCCGCTGCTTCTGGGAGCTGCTTGAGGTAAGTGCCACCTGGAGTCTGCACCCCCAACCCCCTCCTGCACTCCAACCCGCTGCCCCAGCCCTGATCCCCCTCCCTCCCGCCGAACACCTTGGTCCCAGCCCGGAGCACCCGCAACCCCTCATCCCCAGCCGGAGCCCTCACACACACACCCCGCACCCCAACTCCCAATTTTGTGAGCATTCATGGCCCGCCATGCAATTTCCATACTCAGATGTGGCCCTTGGGCCAAAAAGTTTGCCCACCCCTGATTTAGCTGGATGGGCAGGATACTCTGTGAATTATGACTTTTTTTCCCCCCAGAGAACTGGATGCAGCACAAGAGAAACTTCCAAAAAATAATGGCCCTTATGAATCATCTCTTCAGACATTTTCCTATCCAAAAGAAGGAATCAGCCACCTAGATACAGTGCGAATGGAAACTGCCAGCCCAATATTCAAAGATAGGAAGCAAACAAAAAAATCAATTTGACTTTCACAAATGTTAGAATATTTTAATATAACTTTTACCTGTCACCTTTATGCAATTTATCAGCCAAACTAGAAAATTATTTTAACACAAGAGCTCTAGCCACCATTGACAAGAAGTCTGAAACAGCATTGTGTAATGCTGACAGATCCTATCTAAAAGGTTATTTTTCCTTCAAATATTAAAAGAAACTGGGCAACAATAATGCAAGCAGTTGCGTAACTTTCCAGTAAGATAATTTCTCAGCAGGAAACCAGAAACAAAGTCAGTCTTAGGAAGACAGATATATTAAATTATAAACCATAAATCTATTCATGGAGCAGCTAAGGGCTGTCAGGACTTTGAGGACCGCACCTACATCAAACACAGGTGCCACCAATTTCTGAACTGAAGGGCATCACAAAATAATATTACATGGCAAGAGATCTTATTTCTATGGAAAGAGGAAATGTGTGTGTATACGTCCTTATGGGTCTTAAGTGGATTGACTTTGTTATTTCAGTGTGCTGGCCATTCAACCAGTTTCTAAGATAATGTTTGTGCTTTTCAAAAAAAAAGAAAGCAAATCTTTCCCACTTTTACAGAGAGATGTTACTTTTCACTAGCTTCCTGGAGGTTGGTAGTATATGTAGGACTTAAGAGAAACTCTATTATACAAGTTGTATTTCTCAGCAGTCAAACCGCCCATGAAAAGGACAAAAGTACTTCAGGACCAGTGACCTGTTTTTAAGTGCTCTCTGCCTACACAGAATCCATGGACAGCAGACTGCCAAGGTCCTAGCGAGGCAGGGATGCGGCAGCACTCCCAGCACCCGGAGTTCCAGCACCTATGTAGCAAGGTAAAAGGTCAGGAAAAGGCCAAAATCATCATCATGATCCCAACAGTCTGTTTAGAAAAGCTCACATAAAAACAGAAGCACTACACTGGCATTAAGATTCTAATATGCCCTTAGGCCATCATTTTTAGAGTACCTTCCCTGAGAACTCCCTGTTATCTGGATATGTATTTCTTCATTTTGCAGTTGTAAATCTGGAATAGGCATGTCCCAACATCTGTTTTATGACACCCTAATGCAATTCCCATTCGGAATCCAGATGTTCTGGAAATGTCTGCTCAGGAAACCAGCCTATAAATTGGAATCTCAAGAACAACCATTGCCAAAAGGGTAGTGGTGGGAATACAAAAATTCCAGAGGTTACTAACCGACATGAACAGACAAAACCTGCTACCTGTATCAGTTGATATAGAACAAGTCCATGACACCACCTGCAAGCCTGTAAGTGAACTAGATTCCCACAAAAATTCCCTGCAATTCCAACAGCTTTATGAATAGTTTATGGTAAGTTTGTAACCATAAACTAGGGGGAGGGATAGCTCAGTGGTTTGAGCATTGGCCTATTAAAGCCAGGGTTGTGAGTTCAATCCTTGAGGGAGCCATTTGGGGATTTAATTAGGGATTGGTCCTGCTTTGAGCAAGGGATTGGACTAGATGACCTCCTGAGGTCCCTTCCAACCATGATATTCTATGAACCATTTGGAAGACAGTGGATAGTAGATGAGATGCCAGCAAAATGTCACCATGACTTCTAACATTACAAACTGTTTTAGTGCACTCCTGCAAACACATTGTATCCTTCTGGCCACTGGGTTAAGCAATCTAGATTAAAAAAATAGGTACATAAAATAATGTATCAGTTGGAGACATGATGTCGTACATCTCAGAAAGGATAGGATGACAATTATGTTCCTGTTCTGAATTCAAAGACCCAGTTGCCAAAAAGCACAAGTCTTTCCTTCTAGAAAACACTAGTCCAACACTAGCAGTTCATTTTTTTGTGGTTGAAAGCAAGACCTAGATTTTATTTTTTTTTAAGATTTGGTGGGCATTTTCTGTTGGCACTGCCTAATTTTCTCTGGCCTTGCCCAAAACTGAAGCCTTGCCAACTTAACTAGGAAGCCACCACAACTATACATTTAATGAAGATGTACAGCAAGTTCTTGAGACCACACAGAACATTTTAAACTGACAGATTCTTCCTGCTGTTGAGAGTCTGGGGAACTTCCTCTGGGATTACATCACAGGGACATCAGAGAACATAAATCTTTTCAATCTATTCCTGTATCCAGTTCATAGCTTGCATTTAAAGCAATTGGAAATTATTCCATTTTATGTGGCAATTAAGGTTTCTAAAATTCAAGATAAAACTCAGAAGTTCAGGGGTGTTTTGTGGACCAGGAAATATTAGGATTAATGCTTTAAGAGAGGCTGAATTACACTTCTGTCTACTCCCCCTCCAGTGGAGGTTTGGCAGTTTACTTTTTACTTTTTTATTTTTAAAGCAGTGATGGTAAAACAATCGTGAAGAATTACTTATCTATCTGAGGAAAATTTGTCTTAGCCACAGCGCACAGGAGGAAAAGGAAAATAGACAGCAATGATTTTTGTGAAACAACACTATGGCTGGCAGGCTGAGGAGCTATCTCCTGTGAAGGAAAAAAAGTCTGAATCCTTGAAGAAAACACATTTGTAGTCTGAGTAACTAGCTGCCTCAAGAGGTTCCAAACACATTTGTCAAGGCTCTGAGAAGAGATCATTTTCTGAAATACTGCTGAGGCATGAACCAGACAAAAACATTCAGAGTCCCAGGAGAATTCAGTATGCAGGTATTTGAGCTCACAGGAATTTATAGATGCGAATAAGAATTAAAGGGCCCAATGGTGCACGGAACTGTACACATGCAAAAAAACCTACCAACTCTTCTATGAAGTCAGAGAACACAACCTAATGTGCTGGAGGAGTGGAAGAGGAAATCGTAAACCTACACAAGACAAAAATGGTGTAAAGTTTCCAAGTCTAGTTAATGTAAGATTTTTTTTGCAAGTGACTAGAATCTGCTGATGCTTCAGGGGGAGTGTATAATTCATAACAATACTCACAATACTGATTAGTATGCCATCATGAACTTGCAGTGGAAAATGTAACATTAGACATGAAGGAAAAAAAACATACATTCAAGGAAAGTACTGTACACTTCCATTGTTCCTACCAAAATCATTATGTAGTTTTATTAGAAGAAATATATTTTTATACGAATAGCTTGAAGAAAATACAAAAAGAAAGACCCTACCTTCTCCAGGACTGACTGCTGCTGGTAGACTGTTCCAATCTAGGGTCCACCTAGGGCAGGGATGAGGAGAAAACTTTGCTTCAATACCGCTTTCCTGTGGGTAAGAAAAGAACTGATCTCTCAAAGACAGATTCAAACAGGCCTTATGGTTTAAGCGTATGCCCTCTGAAGTCAGTAGCAAAGTTCCCATCGACTTTAATGGTGCAGGATCAGGCTCTAAGATCCCTTAGCTACATGGTTGGACTACTGCCATTCCATTCAGTTATATTTTCTTTGGCTTTCATCTTCCTATATCTTTTATGCAGAAACGAATGGAGATTTTTACATTTTCTTTGGGTCTCCAAGTACTCATAGCTCTGAACAAACAACTGAAAAAATCATAGAAGACAGAATATTAAAACGAAATACCAAAGCAGCATTTTATTTTTGGTTCTATAACAGCCTAATTTTGTTTTGTTTTGTTTTGTTTCATAATATATATATATATATATGCCAATACCAATGTGTACTTTAATAATTTTAGCATCTAGTTTCCTCCGATCATAAACTTTATCATTTTTTATTCAGAAGTTAAACAACAAAAATATATTGTGGCAAACCCAGGACAAACAGCTACAAACAGGGGGGTGGGAGGGGGTAGTAATCAGTCCCTGGGGGTTAAAAAGGCCTCTCCCAAGCCACTGAAGAGAGAGAACCATGGAGAAATAAGGTTCAGCTGGGCAAGGGGTTACTAGGGAAGTAATTAGGTTCAGCTGGCTCCAACTGCTTGGGACCTTTTTAAACCCTCCCTGGCATGGGGGGGGGGGGGGAGAGAGCGTGAGAGAACCAGGGAAGCTGCCAGTAAGTTAGGAGCAGCAAGGCTCTGAACCCTTCCAGCAAGGAGGGCCGCACTCTGTCCCCAGAAAGGAAGATAAACAAGCACAAGGGACTGACTGAGGGAAGGAATAGCCAGACCCTGTACTACCTACAAGGATTTGCTTTGCCCAAGCCTGGGTCTCCAAGGCTAAAAAGGACTGAGCCTGCTGAGGAGAAGAAGGTACTTTGCCACAATATATAAATAAAAAATTATAGCTCAATAGTTCTCAGAGAGAAGTCAGAATATACAGGTAGCCCTTAATGAGCTGATGAAGGCTTCCAATGGTGTTTTCCAAGCACTTCTAATTAGTTACTATTTAGAGATCTGTACTATCCTAAATTCAGGCAGAACTATAATAATATTATGATGATGATTATGATGATGATGATTATTATTTTTATTATTAAAAATAATAAATGAAAATGCTGAATTACCATTAACTTTGTCATGGTTGGCCTTGGACCGCCTATAAACTGATAATCTTCATGTTCTTCCTCTAAGTCATCAGGAATTGTATGGAAGTCTCTCAGCTGCTCATCTGGGAAAGACCGCAAATCTGGAAATTGGAGAAACAGCATATTGCACTTGGCAGCAGCACTCTTTACTCCAGGCACTTCCTGAACTCTGTGGTACCAACTGGATATCAGAGGCAAATCTAATAGCTTTTTGTTGTGTTTCTTGATGAAAACCTAGACAATAAAGCAAAAACCTTACTTAGTACTGCAATTTTTTGCATTCAATCCACAGAAGAAAAGAGCTGTACTATAGAGCAAAGCTCTGCTCCTCCCTTTCCCCCAACATGTTATGGATGCTGGTGGACAGATGGATGGGGCAGAAGCTGACTTCACACCACCTGGAAGCCTCCCTTCCCCCCAAATCTGGAATTTTTCGCTGTCTATTTGCAGACAGATTCTGTAACATCTTTGTGTTGCCCAAATACTGGATCATAATTATGAGTCTGGCCCCTGGGAGTCTTCCTACTATAACAGTTATAACTTTGGTTTGTAATGATGTTTCTGCTTTAAAAGGGTGCAGAAGAAGAATCCAGGATTAAATAGTGAAAAGTAAAGTATGAATGGTCAACCAAAATCCTTGTGATACCTGTTTGGACCAAGTAGTCACTTAGTTATTCCAAAAAGCAGAAGAAAGGAAGAGGAAACAAAGTTGTGTGGTTCACCATAATTAATTCTGGTTCATATTTTAACTGATTTTGAAAGGAAAACTGGCTTCAAAATACCTAAGATACATAGTTAAAATAGATATAGTTGTATTTTGTTATTTATATACCACTCAAAAAGTGTGCTAGCCATTTTACAGACAATATTTCAACTCTGAAGGCTTACTTGACAGAGCCATTTCTAAGTGTGGTAGAAAGGAAATCTTGCATTCTCTCCTGCTGACTTGGAGATGTGGTATGCAAGTATTTACACTGAAATAGGGCAATTTATTTCAGTCTTAGTTTTCAGTGGTTATAGATGGCCTAAAATGAGAACCAATTAGCTTACATCTCTCCTTACTAGGGTGACCAGATGTCCCGTTTTTATAGGGACAGTCCCGTTTATGGGGACTTTTTCTTATATAGGCGCCTATTACACCCCACCCTGTCCTGTTTTTTCACAGTTGCTATCTGGTCAGCCTACTCCTTACACATATGATTCAGATAGTGCCAATGGGAATTAAATGCATAGGATGCATTACATAGGATAAGGTCACAGTGAATAAACTCTTGGGAGAATTTACTATGAGTGTAAATAACAAGGAAGGGTTTAATGCCAAAATCAGACAAAAGACCTTGTCGTGTTTGGAACTGGCTGTATCTGGATTTTTAAATTACTAGTCTGTAATTTTTATTTTGCACCATCAAATAATCTGTACTGAAACAATCTATTCATTTTAAATTGATTTTAAAATGATGGGGCAGCAATGGATCTAGGATTTTGCAAAGGTCAGTTGGTAGGACCAAAATGCAAATAAGTAATATTATGTAAGACTGTTCATTAATTGCAGTTAACTCGTGCGATTAACTCAAAAAAATTAATCACGATTAATCGCAGTTTTAATCGCATTGTTAAACAATAGAATATCAATTGAAATTTTAATATTTTTGGATGTTTTTCTACATTTTCAAACATTGATTTAAATTACAACACAGAATACAAAGTGTACACTGATCACTTTATATTATTTTTATTACAAATATTTGCACTGTAAAAATGATAAACAAAAGAAACAGTACTTTTCAATTCACCTCATACAAGTACTGTAGTGCAATCTCTATCATGAAAGTGCAACTTACAAATGTAGATTTTTTTTTGGGGGGGGGGGTTACATAACTGCACTCTAAAATAGAACAATGCAAAACTTTAGAGTCTACAAGTCCACTCAATCCTACTTCTCGTTCAGCCAATCACTAAGACAAACAAGTTTGTTTACATTAACAGGAGATAATGCTGCCCACTTCTTATTTACCTCACTAGAAAGTGAGAACATGCGTTCACAAGGGACTTTTGTAGCCGGCATTGCAAGGTATTTACATGCCAGATATGCTAAACATTTGTATGCCCCTTTATGCTTCAGCCACCATTCCAGAGGACATCCTTCCATGCTGATGATGCTCATTAAAAAAATAATGCATTAATTAAATTTGTGACTGAACTCCTGAGGGGAAAATTGTATGTCTGCAGCTCTATTTTACCCACATTCTGCCATATATTTCATGTTATAGTAGTCTAGGATGATGACTCAGCACATGTTCATTTTAAGAACACTTTCGCTGCAGATTTGACCAAACGCAACAAAGGTACCAACATGAGATTTCTAAAGATAGCTATAGCACTCAACCCAAGGTTTAAGAATCTGAAGTGCCTTCCAAAATCTTAGAAGAATGAGGTGTGGAGCATCTTTTCAGAAGTCTTAAAAGAGCAACACTCATATACGGAAACTACAGAACCCGAACCACCAAAAAAGAAAATCATTGCTTTGGATGGTTATGGAGCAGAACCAGTCATCAGCATGGATGCATGTCCTCCAGAATGGAGGGACATATGAATCTTTAGCACATCTGGCATGTAAATATCTTGCGACTCCGGTTACAACAGTGCCGTGAGAACACCCGTTCTCACTTTCAGGTGACATTGTGAACAAGAAGTGGGCAGCATTATCTGGTGCAAATGTAAACAAACTTGTTTGTCTGAGCAATTGGCTGAACAAGAAATAGGACTGAGTGGACTTGTGGTCTCTAAAGTTTTACATGGTTTTATTTTTGAATGCAGTTATTTTTTTGTACATAATTCTACATTTGTAAGTTCAACTTTCATGATAAAGAGATTGCACTACAGTACTTGTATTAGGTGAATTGAAAAATACTATTTCTTTTGTTTTTTACAGTGCAAATATTTGTAATAAATAAATATAAAGTGATCACTGTACATTGTATTGTGTTATAATTGAAACAAATATATTTGAAAATGTAAAAAACATCAAAAAATATTTAAATAAATTGTATTCTATTGTTTAATCGTGCAATTACATTTTTTAATCGTGCGATTACTTTTTTTAATCACTTGACAACCCTAATATTAATTCCTACATCATTAAGACAGAAAGTGAATTTCAGAACATCTATGCTTTCTACAAGCAATAATCTTTGAGATTTTGGCCATTTTGCAGAGAGATCAATTATATCAGTTTGTTGGTGTCACGCATCCTTCTCTTGCCTCCTGTCATCCTTGGTTCTCTCCACACTGACACATTGTGCCCCCTTTCCACTTTCTCCTAGTCTTTATTCTTTATTTACCCCTCAGTTTTCTTCCTTCCACATCTCATTGTTTTCTGCTACTTCCCTGAGCAGACAAAGGGACTAGATTTTTTTTCCCCCTCCATAAAAATTGAAGTTCTAGAGAACAAAGTATCAGCCACCAGGAAAAAGTAATGACTCACTGAGCTGCCATAACTGCTCCCCCTTGATCCCGCAGAGCCCTAGAACCTGCTACTCTACTCCACCACTGCAGCACCTCCAATTCTACCCTCTTCTCCTCTGGATCTGCCACCAGTCTGCTCTATTACTGCCAAACTTTCTGTCTTCTTGCAGCTGCAGCAATGAGAAAAAGGAGACTATAGCAGAGAAGACAAAGAATATTTAAAAAAAAAAGCTTAACCAAAACAACATTATCTACAGAGATGTCAGAGTGTTTGGGCTTTTTTTTTTTTTTTTAAAGCAGTGAGATGTAAAATAGCTTTCCTTCAGAAAATATTCCTCGATTTAAAAAATTTTTTAAAAAGTGCAGGAAAACAAAACCTTGAACTATGACTTTCATTCTGTAAAACTTTAGGGTACAATCATTTAATAGTTCTAAAGAAAATGAAGTTGAATGGTGGACAAACTTTTCTCAAGCTATTTGAGTTAGATCAACAACTTGGCAGATGTTGAAAAAAATGGAAATGTAACAGTGTTTTTATATATTTAAATGAATCTATTTTTCCAAGTCTTTCTCTCTACAAGATGTCTTACCATTCTAGCCCTTCTTGTAAATTAGATTAGCCAAATTAGGAGGTCATTGGCCTGTGAGATACTATGCATTGTTGCCATGGAAATGATTATGCTACCAAACAGAAGACCGTAAATTATGATTGTAAACAAAAGGCAGCAAAGAAATAACATGCAAGAAATACAGCGTGTGTGTGTGTGTTTTGGATGCAGGAATTGGTAAAGGACACTTACCAAATGCTCAAAAAAACATACAGTTTATCTGTGTTTTTTGTACTGTTCTTACAAATTAATCATAAGTAATTAGTAATAATAGAGTGCAAAGACAAGACTAAAAAGTATCAAGATATTTAATTAAATATTAAAATATGTCCACGCATTTAGAACATGTGTAGGAAAAGATTTACTTCGCTGAGGAAATTGTCTTTAGAAAACAATTCCAACATTAGCTTTTCTACTTGACAATAAGAGTTGAATTATGTGTGTTTCTCTCCCAGATCAAACACAATACACCTCTACCCCGATATAACGCTGTCCTCGGGAGCCAAAAATTTTTACCACGTTATAGGTGAAACCGCATTATAATCGAACTTTGCTTTGATCCGCTGGAGTGCGCAGCCCCGCCCTGGAGCACTGCTTTAAATTTAACAGCTACAATTAATAAAAAGAATAACTGCTAAATAAGGCTAAACTTGAGAAAACAGTATAAATGGAACAAGTATATTAAAAACCAGTCTTTGGCCTCATTCTGTTTATATTGGTAATTAGTTATGACTTGTTAATATTTGCCATGTTGTACTTTTTAAACATGTACCATTGAAGCTCTTTATTTAAAGGTAAAAATAATGATGAAGTGTAAAGAACTAGCAACTACAAAATCAATGATTGAAAAAGGTATAGTCTAAATGTGGTCTGGGTCACCCTATTAGTGTAAGTGGTCAGGTGCATTTTAAGATGGATGTTCAACTCTGCTGTTTCTGTCCACAATAGTGTAACAACTGGATTCAATACAATAAAGGGCTGGGCAAAACTGTGTTATAAGTTATCAAATATGGGTGATAGAGCAGTAGGAGACACAGCATCTGTAAGTGAGGTAGCCTCACCATGTTCCACCCCAGAGTTAGTTTTTTATTTAAACCATAAGCACCTGAAAACACAGTTTTAGATCATTATCTTTGGTGCGATCTAAAAAAAGGCAACATAAATGCACAATATATAAAATGGAGCAGCAGCAAGATGCCCATCTCAGAGAACGGTGGTTTTGCTATGGCAGGTGTACTATATCTATGTTAGGGTTGTTTGTTTGAGGTGGTTTTTTGTTTTGTTATTTTTGCCAAGAATTCTGGGGCCGCACCTTTAATTAAATGCAACTGTTCACACAGGACTCACAAGCTGCACAAGGTTAAGGCCATACAGAAGCAGCAAATAAACATATAACTTCCAGCAATACATACTGTAATTCTTTAGACAGGTTTTACTGGATTACTGAAATCCACAGAGCATCTGATCCAGAATCCTTCCCATCAATAAGTCAAACAATCATAAAAAATTATGCTAGGCTTATTTAGAAAAATGAATGAGGCTGGAAGGTCTGATCGTTGTTAAAATATTAAGAAAACATTTTGCTTTGTAGCTTTTATTGGTTGAAACAATCCTTATAAAGGTAATTGATAATCCTCAATTAACTATGGTTGCAAAACAAAAACAAAAAAACACTGATGTATTTCTAATCTGGAGTCTACTGTAAAATAACTTCTTCACAACTCAAAGGAACAACGTTACTGCTACTCTTGGGTGGAAAATTCTTGTGACAACGCACACAGTCATCTGGAGATTATGTTTTTACCAAGAAAAGCTATATAGCGGGTTTTACTGCACATACCAATTTGAGTAAGTGCTTATCTTGATTTTGGAGATTACTTCTATGAACCCGATTGACAGTATGTTCTCCCAGAACTGCTTTTGTTTTCAGCCACCAGCAGAAAAATTAGCAAAATACAAAGCCTAAACTCACAGAGCTCTCCTTTTGGCAACAAACTCGGACAGGCATTCATTGACAGTTCAGATATCAAACTTTCCTGAAGTATAAATACTGAACATCACCAATGAAACAGATATCATTGCTATGTTCTTTCAAGTGCATTTTATATGTGTGGGGCTGCTACAATTCTCTCATTTCCTCACCTCTGTCATTCGAGTGCATTCCCTGAAAATGAAATACAGGGTAAGTGCTGTGCTAGAATTACTCAAAGAGTAAAAATAAATGACGATATAAAACCTTTTGGGCAAGAAATAGAGAATAAATTTATGTCTAGAGTCAGCGTATTATCTAATATTTTCCTGATGAAGAGCAACTACTACAACTGCCAAATCACAGAGGGCATATGACGGATCAATCGTGGTGGATTACACTCACCCCTTGCACCCAAGACACTGCTAACATCTCACTATCCAAGGTGTCCCCACTGGGCACAAAGATGTCCACTTCCTTAACTCTGCCCATGTTTTTCTGTGCCCTCCTGCCCTGTGCCATCATGCCACCCTACTCAACTATATACAGTGAAAGAGGGATCTCTGCAATCAGTGGAGTTGGCACGATTTGTCTATAATAGAGCTGCTTCCATTCAACTCAATGGGCTGTTAACCCTGAAGCCTCTTTGCATCTTGTCTACATGGGATTGTTTTGGCACCAGATAATTACACCAACATAGCTGCACCAATACAAACCCATAGTGTGGATGTGCTGCACTAGTGTAAAAAGTGACTTGCAGAGGTATGGTTTATCTTGGTTTCAATGGTAAAGCTAAACTGATGCAAAGAAATCCCAGCATAGACAATCTCTTAGTTTTAACCCCTCAAAATGATTGTCTCAGGACATCCTACATATGGACATCTTAGCAACAAGTGCTACAGTAGTGTACTTGTTGCAAAACCAATCTTGGACAAGTAATAAACCAGTGGCATCGCCACAACAGAGCCAAAGGAATATTTCCTCCGCCTCACAGGAAATGTACCAGGAAGTGCCCAATAATGATAGAATAGTAAAAAAGAAAAATTAGGTATAAAATTTTTTTAAAGGAGAACAAACAATCTCGCCGTCAGAAGTCAAAATGAATCAGGTATTATAAAAGGAAATATTTAAAGACAAAAAAAATCTGAAAATTTAGCTCCAAGGAAATCAAGAAATTAGAGACTACTAGAGGTCAAACTTTAATACTAACTTCTGAGGAAGTTTGCCATTGGATGATACTTGAATAACACTTAAGTTTTGCTGTGTGAAAGGAAAGACAAGGTGCTATATCACTAAAATGCCATTGTCGTCTCTGCATTCCTTTCCTTTCACTTCCTCCATAAAAAACCCTCTCACTTTTCTAAGAGACATTCGTTTTCTTTAAGACATGTCTACCCACATCCTGAAAAGATCACACAAAGATTCATGTTTCAGCTGAAAAATGTTTCAATTCAGGGTAACATTCATATAAACAAGAGAAACAACAAAACTGTATCAAAATCAAATTTTGCCTTGCCCCACCAATATGCTGTTGCCAGAATTAGCGTGCAGGAAAATTACAGCTATGACTATCTCACTCCTACTTACTTTTGTTTTACCCACATTATAATGCACTTTCATTAAAAGAATGTCCATTAAAAAGCTGCCTAAGACATCTTGATTTTGGCTTCTCATCTTGTTAAATCATTCATTTTATAATTCTCCCCCCATTTATACTTTGGACTTAATGAGAGCATACAGATTCCATTATCATAAAGTGGATGCATTCAACTTTAGTAAATATTCACACTGCTTAGGCTACAACTCAACCAGCTGATTAAAACTACAAAGTATTACCTTCCATTTATAGTAGGAAAAAGACTGAGTTTAAGGTCAGGTTTAACTAGCACATTTTAGTTAAGCCAGACCTAAACTTGACCACTTTTCCTAGGCAAGACAATCCCTACTAAAACACTTTGAAATTCTAACTATTTCTGGGGAATTGTCTCATAAGACTGTTCTGAATCTGATTACCGTCAGTAAAGATACACACACGTCTCCTTCTGTCAATTGTGTCTGGTTTTAAAGACAGGAATTGTTTACTGTAGCTATGTAAAGATGAAGTTAGGTTTAAATGTTACAGCAGGGTAGAATCAGTTATTAACAAGCATAAAATAATCTAGTTAGATTTATGGTAACTGTTTGGTGTAATGGATGAGATAAAGATGTGTTTTGTTGAAAATAGAAGTATCTCCTGATTTGGAGGTATCCTCAGCGTGAGGGGCAAAATTAAGATTATTTGAGTGCATGGAGCTCCTGATCCCCAGATTAGACTCCTTTTATCTTCCATGTAGTGCTCTCACCTGTCACACCCCTCTGATTGGATCACAACTGATCCCCAGCCTGTTGCTTCCCCCTCTCCTCGGTACGCAGCTTCAGGTATGGAAGAGGCTACTGTCTGGGATGTCACAGCTTTTTACCTGAGTGTCATGGAGCATCTCTGGCCCCATGACTCTGCAGGAACTCCCTGCCTCAGTTTCCTCCTCCCAAGGATTTTCTCTCTCTCCTGGCAGGTCATGTGGCTCAGTCCTTCAGCTGGGTCATTCTGACCTCAATTCTCTTTTGAGGTAGGAAGTCCAAATTAAGTCCCAACAAACGAAAGTACTTTCTCCCCACCTGGACTCCTTTCTAGCCTGTCCCGGGCTCAGTTTCCAGGTTATCTTTAAAGTCTCTGGCTCTAGGATAGAGCCCTAACTCTCAGACTTCTTCCCTGGAGTTTCTAGCACCATCTCAGCGTCTCTGTGAGGCTCTGTGATAGACTCCTGAGTCCAAGACTACTTCCCTGAAGTCCCCTCAGTCTACTGCCGACCCTCACTCAGAACCTTCAGAAGAAGCCTGCCCGCTCTCTGTAGTTCCTCCCAAGTTGAGCTTTCTTAGCCCTCTTACGTGGCCTGGTGTCCATTAAGTATCACCTAAACCTCCTTAGTCCCACCCTCTCAGTCTGGGAAACAGCTAATTAATTATGGCATAAGTGTGGCTGGCCCCATCTCCCCTTAAAGGAGCCAGACACCAAGTGAAACCGAGTTTCAAATGGCAGACGTGACATGCTTTAGCAGACCCAGACAATTGTGAAGAGACACACAGCACAAAAATAAATGGCAAATGAAAGTGCTTGAAATAAGTATTAAAAGAAACACTTTTTTGAACATCCTGTCCACCAGAAGTATATGTTAGCACACTCTATTAGTAAATATATAGGATTCATCTGGCCCCTTACCAACAACTGTCTCATATATTTTATATTTTAGTATTGATATCGAAAACTCTTCATTCCCTGTGATACACATACAAACCAATTAAGGGAAACTATTTTGTACCGTGTAGGGTTACACAGTAAATACTTTGCTTGACTGTGTCTTATATCAAGTAGTTGTGTAACTTTTCAGACTCTAACAGATATGGACACTATTAACTACAGAAGCTGTTTTCTTACCAAGAATTGATGGATGCATGGCAAAAGCACTACATCTGCCAGAGTGAAATAAAGCCCCTCAACAAAAACATGCTCCAGAGGTGGGAGATCAGAGGTTTTTGTTTTCCTGATGTGAGAGGACTCCCTGTTGGTTGTAGCAGGTATTTCCTGCACAACTAATTTTGAGAAAGCTACTTTCAGTTCCAAACTTGCACGTTCTTCTTGGTCTTTGATTTCCACTATTGTTCCTTCTTCTGGGCTAAGATTTTTTGTTGCTCTTTTAGCGAGGGCAGGTGCTGCAGTCTTATCACCTGCCTTTTGCTGTTGAAGTTTCTGCCTTCGGATTTTGTCATCATTGTGCACTCTGACAGGTTCTCCTAGCTTCTTCTCAAGAAGCAAAACCTCAGGTGGAATGGCCTGACACTGATCGGGAGACGCATTCAATAAGCTCTCAACAGCCTGAGGGATGCTGATCTCACAAAGTCTGGTCCACTGACTAACCTGTCATATAAACATAAACAAGCACAGTCTCATTAGAACTGTTTGGATTATAATGCAGAAATTCAAAATTAAGGGCATGATTTAAATCCTGTAAAGAGCTTCCATGTAAAGGCTGAAACTCCATCCTTAACATGCCACGCACACACACCCCTTCCCATGTGTACTTGCAATGTCAGAAATTCAAGTTATATACACACACACACACACATATACATATGCATGCTACATTGTTTTAGGTGAACAGCATGAAGTTTAAGCTCTCTGAATTTCCTTGCTTTTGTTAGTTTACATTAAACCCTTAATAGACTAATTTCCATTATAAGTCTGGAAACTAAATTTTGTATATAAAAAGAATTAATGGTGGTCTGGTGTGGTATAAATGTCTTATCGGCATCAATTTGGGATGGCTGTATTATCCAGAAGAGATGAAGCCATGACTAAATTACATTGGTCATCTCAAATGAGTGCCAGTAAAAACGGAATATCGCACCATCAATGAATCCCACAAATGCCATTTATTTTACAGAAAATCTATTTCAGAAATGTTTTACACAATGTTGGGAATGCTTTTCTGCTTGTGATGGCAGAAATTTAAGAAATATGAGTCCAACTGTAATGATATCTTAACAAAAATCCAATTTTTCTAATTCTTTCCCCACTTTCCTCCATTATTTCTACTTAAGTTTTTTACAACTGTCTTTAAACTCAAACGTCTCCTCTTGTTTGATTTATTCACTGGTGCAATGATCCAGAATTTATGGCATCAAATACTCTTCTTTAGCAGAGTCTCTTAATTCACTCCTATCACTCTTTCACCATTGCAACATCTCTCTACACACACACACACACACAAAATTAGTTGCATAATCTCAGATTATAAACTCTTTTCATTGGGATGCTATGGATTTTCATGGAAATTGTTGCCCCAATGTATTTGTATTAGTCTGCAAACTACACACTTAAATCCTGCCCCTTTTTAGGAATCGCACCATATATCAAGCCAAAATTTGATCTTTACCTGTGTCCTTGTTTTTCCCCCCCCCAAAATATCTCTAAATAATCTTATATCAGTGAAATCCAATTCTTACCTGTACTACAAGTGGGAAAAAAAAGTCCCTTAACACTTCAAATGACAGAACAAAAAGCCCTCCACATCCTTTGTTTATATATAAACACTGATAAGAGTACATATTCTTGAACTAGCAACAGTAATAATTAGGAAGTACAAGTTTATTATTAGTCAAATCTGCACCAAGTACTATGTTCAGTGGACAACTCCACTTCTTAGAATGGTTTACAGTAGCCCAATCTTGCCAGTACAATTTAGCTTGATCATTAGTTAAAGACCCTTTCTACAAGGCAACTATTTTTTGTTTGGTCTCTTGGGTTATTGTTTAAATTTCTTGATTCCTTAAAATATCAAATTTTAGGAGTGTATGTAATTTAAAATGTATTAAAATTAGTTAACAGAAATTATTGTTAAATACAAAAAACTTCCAAGATCCTAAATTATTAACTATATACATGGATAGACTTAAAAGATACAACTCCCCTAACTACCTCCACTCACCATATTTTAGCATCATCTAGCGGGCCAGATTTACCATTATATTACTCTAGTTTTACACAATTATAATGGCATTTCAAAGGAACTATACCAATGTAAAAGGAGGATAAAACGTAGTAATGAATGGAATGAAGGGGCTTACCCATGGAAAGGTTTAACAAAATTGAGATCCAGGGAAAAAAATTCAAAAGCACCTAACTAACTTAGAAAAACCCATCCCATTAATGAAATTTAAGACCCTAAGTACCTAAATCTATTCTGTAAATGGGACTTAGGCATTTTCAATAATTTTATCCCCAGTTTTGGGATTATAAATTTAAGATCTGATCCTTCATTCCTTGCAAACCCAAAATGGGTACTAACTTCAGTTTATACAGCCTCATTGATACCTACTGGCTTCAAAGAGAGTTTTGGATGTTCAAGGTATACAGGAGATCGGAACCTAATAGATTATGTGCTTGAAGTATTTTATCTTTCTCAGGGCAAGGCCCTGCATATTCCACAGCCATTAAATTTATTGCAGAACTGCATTCTCATTAAAAAGAAATATCGTTTCCAGTCTTTATGGTTGTAGACAAAACCTCTAAAATGTGCACCAAGTGTAAACCAATGTAGTGTCATCTATCTGGATCTGCCGAAAATCTGAAATAATAGTTTGAACATGAACTGTCCCATCCATCTAAAGCAGAAAGCTAAGACTACACAATTACATGGCTGCATAATCTGGCATTTTCCCAAGATGCTATGGAATTCAATATTTTGCTGCAGCCAGAAACCCAACATTTTGTTTACTTTTTGTCAAACTGTGCTACTGGGAACTGCCTGCAGCTGTCTATTGCCCTGCAGTTTTCCTCACAAGAAGAAATTAATTAGATTAGTGTATGCTCCCTGTAATGAATCCTGGACCTACGCAGCAAGCAGGAGGCTGGTCCAGCGTGTAGCCGGGGAGTAGAGGAGACAGAAGCATAGGCTTGTCCAAGGAAGGTGGAGAATAGCAGAGCAGCCACGGCCCTGATAAGCTGCGGAAGACCACTAAGAACTAAAAGGAGGATCTGTGCTGGACTATCTGGACAACATTATGGGAGCCAAAGGCAGAGCGTGGAGCTAGGGCACCTGGAGAGTGTACAATAATGAAAAACCCATCTTCAAAAATAATCAGGGTTGAAAATAAGCAACAATAAATTTTACATCAATGAGTATTTTCATAAGCAACAGTTGTATTTGTTGTTTTGGGGAATAGGAATGAAGGATATTTCATGGTGATAGAACAAATTAATGTCACAGAATTTGGTCCAGAGTAAATATGGCCATGGCAAAGGGTTATTATACAATTAAACTTGAAAGAGCTCAGGTCACTGGACAGACCAGAACTAAAGGTTACCTTATGACAGAATATATGTAGGAACAGTTTAAGAAGGTATTATTTTTTAAAGTTGTGAACAAATAAGCAGATCTTTTAAATAAGATGGTGTAGACAAATAACATTCATATTGAAAAAGTAAATGAGTACACGGAATTTCTAAATGGCATTAAAGAGTTTCACAGCTTAGAGTACCTGACCTCCCTTTCTGGGATGTATGGAGTGGGCTCTTCATTGAACATGTTCTGCCCCCTACCTACATTACCTGGATTTTCGTTTATTGGATTTTTTTTGCACAGCAGTACCTTTCACTTTCTATGGTACAAAACAAAGGGGTTTTGTTGTTACATTTAACTTTTTAAATGTTAGAACTAGACTGGCTCGAGTTGTAAATTATCAAGCCTTTCCTAGCACATGTAGCCCATAAGCTTGGTTCTGGACCTACACTACTGTGTAACTAGATTTAAATATTATCTTCTCTTTTACACACTTTCCAAGCCCTTAGTTCAGGATTCTGTATTTATCTTAGAAGAACTGATGTCATCCTGTACACCTGTGTATAAAGAATACAATTCACTGATTTGATTTAGAGGTGAGTAATAACACCAGCTCTCACACACAATCCTAAAATCTGAGCATGGCAGATAAAAAGTAAACTGAATTTCTTTTAAAACAGATAACAGCAGATTTTCAATGGGTCTAAAATGGAATAGCTCCATTGATTTCTATGAAACTACACTACATTATACCACCTGAGGATCTGGCCTATATTTTTAATCTTAAACTACTTATAGTCTGTTAAATATTTAGGGTGTTGTTTTTTTTTAATCATTACCATTCACCAGAATCAATACAGCCACTGTTGTACCAACAATCGGAAACCGTATGATAAAATATCTTAACTGGATATTCCAGCAGACACCCACATTAAAACCCAATTTTTAGTATTAACCATATTTAAATATGTAACAGAAAAAGATGCACTCACTTCAGCACAGGCTTTTAGGCACGTCTTTTTAAACCCCAAAAGTTCCAAAACCAACTTCTTTGATGGATCTACCTCATATGTTTTCTGTATTATGTGCCTCAACACAACAGAAAGACCAGCTCGACAGAATTTGCCATTTTCTTCAACTATAGCAGGCAAACAGCAACTCTGGACAACCAAAGGGAGTTGACACCTTGAGATTAAGTGGACCTCTAGGTCATCAGGCTGTGCTTTGCCAAATAACTGGTCATCTGTACTGTCACTAGCAGGCACTAAGAAAACTTTGAATAATTTGCAGTCACAGTAGGACAGCAAAAACAAGGATATTGATGTGTGGAGAGGAAAGATGCAATCTTCAAATTGATGGGAGTACGCCAGGTACAGATGTTCTTCAGTAACCCCGCCTTTCATTTTCCTTCAGAGCTGAAGTACCTGAAATAGAAATCAGAATAATATTTATAAAGAATATAGCATTTACGGTTTTTTGTTTTTGTTTTTAAAGACTTGAAATAATGACCGTTGCACCTGTTTGAGACAGGTGATTTTAACTTGAGACAAGCGTTCTTTTAAATATTTGCCAGTTGAAATAACAAGAAGTGTACTGCAGTCCCCTCTGAGATATAAGTGAATCCAGATGTGTATTTATATATATTTAACACCTCATAAATGAGCCCCACTCACACTCAATGACTAAGGCCCCAATCCTCTAGCTGTATTCACACAGGTCTACTCATGTGTATGTATTTGCACTATCAAGGCCTAAGTGTGGAAAAGGCACAGTATTAAGCCATCCATTCTGCATTTAAACTCATCTATTCTCTGTTAATAGATGCTCACCCCCAAAAGCTTGAGGGAATATATTAGCAGTTATCTGTCATGAAAGAAAACAAACTGATCATGACTGAACTGTCAGAAATGGGTCTAGACATGGTTCTCAAACTTATTTGACCCTTCTTTGTGTCTGTACTTGTTTACGCCCTCCTCCCCAAGTACATACATCACCACCAAGCTCTGAAGGCAGAGCAGAGAGGCTGCTGGCTGGGCACCCAGCTCTGAAGGCAGCGCCACACCAGAAGCAACACAGAAGTAATGGTAGCAATGTGGAAAGTGATATTCGTCAATATAACTTTTCACAGCAGACTTAACGCATCATTGCTACCCTTACTTCTGTAGTGCTCCTGCCACCTCGGGGGCTGACAGACAGAGCCCCACCGCCTCCAGGTGAGGGATTGGGGGGAGGAGGAGGAGAGCCTGGGCTAAGGTGGCAGGGTTCCAGCTGTCCCCTTTATCCCTGCCTCCTGAGTGTGCCTGGTCCTTCTGCACAAGCCCCAGCCACCTGAAGCTGACAGCCAGAGTACTTAAAAAACAAAACAAAACACACAGCTCATGCCTCTCTTGACACATTCCCACATGTCTCTTGGAAGGCTCACCCCACAGTTTGAGAACTGCTGGTTTAGATTCTTTTGACTTCCCAATTGTCTCCTATCCTTTCCAAATTTCTTCTGCCCCTTCTTCTTCGTATGGCTGAGGTAAATGTAGAGCAACAACTATAATTTTACGTTTAGATAGTTAAGCTAGATAATTGCATCTGGAGTAGCAGAGTGTACTGCTGGCAATGCCTCCTTCATATTTGTGAACTGGGCATTGAGTTCCATGGTCTGTTCTGGGTGACTACAGTCACACATTGGAGAGTCTTTAATTTTCCATTATTGCAGCAAGTATCCGCATCTGCCATGGTTTGTGCGGATACAGTTTAAGGCTACCCATAACCTTTGTGGGAGATTGAAGCCAGAGATCTTCTGCATGAGGTCTTTCATGCGGTGTTTATTTGTGACTTCTTGTGAATTCCATTCAGCTTCGTAAGCTTCATCAGGGTTGAAGCTGCATTGTTGATGATTAAATGCGTGGGTCCAAAAAAAGCTTGTGTGACTTCAAGCAGAGGTGAAGGACATTGTTAAGGTCCTGGTGGATGGGAAAATGTTCATTTTCCATGATCCTCTGAAATTTCTGAAGGGTTATGGCATCATGGCAAATGGATGGCGGCGCAATGTGCGACAGCGCTGGCAGCCAAGGTGTTGGGGTCGAGTTGAGGGTTCCAGTGATGCACCGCACTGCAGTGTTTAGTTGGACATCAATAAGTCAAGTATGGTTACTTCTGGTCCATACCGGTGCATAGGCTTTGGCTACAGAGTACACAAGGACCATCGCTGATGTCTGTAACACTGATGCTTATGCTCCCCAGCTTGTGCTTGCCGGTTTCTGGACCAGGTTGACCCTTGTCTTCGTCTTGGCGGCTACATTCTTCAGATGGTCGTGGGAGGTTAGCGTGTGGTCCAGCTTCACTCTGAGATTGGTCGGAGTGAGGTCATGTCACACACTGTTGCCGCAGAAGGTCACTTTCAGGGTGTGTTTAGCATTCCTGTTATCAAGATGGAATGCAGTGACTGCTGTTTTGTGAGGATTTGGCTTGAGCCTCCATTTCCAGAAATATTCCTCTATGGTGTTCAGGTCCCTGTTCAAGGTGGACTTGATGTCACTGAAGGTGGCAGCTTGAGTTGCCAGGGAAGGTCATCCGCATATGCAAATTTGCACGACTTCGTTGGAGGCATGTCGCTCATGTAAACATTGAAAACAGTCAGCGCAAATACTGAGCCTTATGGCAGTCCGATGATGAGGAACTGGGGCAAACTGACTTGGTTGCCCGAGTGGACATGTAACTACCTATTGCTCAGCATCATCCATAGCAGACAGTGTGTTTCGTCAGGGGATGATCCTTGTGAGCTCCAGCATCAGGCCTTTAATCCAGACTGCCCCTGAAGCAGTATAAATTAGGAAACTAAATAACTGGCTGTAATTTATAATTACAAAGTCTACTTCCTCCATACATGTGATCTTGATATAATTATATTAAAATATTTTTATTTGTATTAAACCTTGGTCCATTTTGATTTATTCCTGAAAAAAGGACATTGTTTTTCTTAAAGCCCAGTGCAGAAAAATTCAATAATTAAAAAAATAATAAAAAATGGATTTTTAATTACATAAATTTTTCTTTTTCCAAATAACCTATTTATAATTAAACTGTAAATTACAACAACCTATACTTAAATTACAACAACCTATTCCGGCCTAAGTTTGTTTTCTTCTTCCAATCTATGAATAAAAATAATATGAGAGAGGATTAATCAGGTTCTAAAAATGTGAAGGGCATGGTGGCCAAAAACAAGTACACCTTTACCCCGATATATCGCTGTCCTTGGGAGCCAAAAAATTCTTACTGCGTTATACGTGAAACCGCGTTATATCGAACTTGCTTTGATCTGTCGGAGTGCGCAGCCCCGCCCACCCCTCTCCTTTACCGAGTTAAATCGGAGTAGAAGTGTACTTTAATTCATTCAATATTTTAAAAATCTGTACCATCCTTGTTAGCAAAAAGAAGTACCAAATTTAGTGTAAAGGCTATGTCTAGTTGCAAATCAATATGCCTTAATGATTACCAATCAATGAGAATCAATGTTTCTTTAGGAAAATAACTACAAAGTACAAATGCAAAACAACCTTACCATTAATTATTTAAATCAAGGTGTCCTGCCCACTGATTTAAATCCCTATTAAAACGGTAATTTAAATCACTTTGATCAAACTGATTTAACTCAATCAAACTTGAGCCTTTGAATGGTTTTATACAATTTACTATTTGGTATTCTTAAAAATGTGTAAACAAGCACTTAGCAATTATGGGAACAAGCGCTCTAAAAGTCAAATATATAGTAGTCAGATCTCGCCTAGTATTCTCATGCATTTTTAAAAAATCTGGTACTGCTCATGTGTGCATGACTATAGCAGCTGATTTTATGAGGCACAGATTTGTGTTTCTGAAATCACTATAAGGCCAATACAACGTATTCATGTAACCAGAAGACAGCATTAGTTTCTATACTACAAATGAAATCCAACTTCTGTAAGGTCATTCACTGAAGGCACGAGCAAGCAAAAAACAGACAAGCTGAATGCACTTCAAGAATCCTATATGTGTGCATCTCAAGCAAACACAATTCATTTAAAGAGAAGTTTGACTTAATTAAAATAATACTCATGGCTCACATTAATATTCTTGTCATCATATGAAAAAAAAACAATTCAATTTCCTTAATACTTCATTCAAGAGTCACAGTTTCCTCTATCAATCTTACACTATTCCCAGGCAGTTTAAGAATTATGATGTAATAATTGTTCTGCACCACCACCTAATAAAACTCCCATCTACTGCCTTATAAACTGCAATTCATATTGCAATCTTTAGACACTAGATGGCACCCTTTTGAAGCAATCGTAGACGCAAACAACACCAGCGGAGAAAGGGTATCTTAACAGTACAAAAAGATGCCATTATGAATGTTTTGTATAGAAAGCAAATGACTCTGGACCAATATTATTCTTTAAAAAAAATTATCTATTTAATAACATCACCATAACTGGGCCAAAACTGTTGTTCCAGGACTTATGTATGAAAAAATGTCTAGTCCACCTTTGAAACTAAAGTAAAGATCCAAATTACTGCAATGGTTATATTATGGTATTTTTTTAAAGTGATTGATCACACACTTAGTGCAGCACTAGGGAGGACACTGTAAAGAGTATCGCTGTGCAGTATGGCTGCTCATACCCGGTCACCAATCAACCAAGTTAACTCTGCAGTGAAAGCATATCCTTAGTTGATTTCTAAGAAGGTTTTGAAAACAGCTACTCAATGAAGACGTAATGCTCACCCATGCTGCTGCTATTGCTTGCACAGAGTTTTCTGAAACATAAGGAAAGCTGTTTCCACAATCAAGTAGCAATAGAAACTGGGTTGGGTTTTTTGTTGGTAAATGATCATTTGAAGTCTCTACAAGTCTCGTAAAAGAAAGATCTTAAAAACATAAACCGTGGATTTTCCACTAGCTATCCTAACTAATTTTTTTAAAGCCATAATTATCCAGTGCAGCAAGAGACCTTTGAGTGTCATACATATTTAGGATATGTGCCATTCATATAAAATGCCTTTATGTAAGTCTTCAAAGAGTACAATTACATTTAACAATTTTTACACCTTCATGTGACAGTTGTTTGAGAAGTTAATTCCCTTCCCCTGGAAAAAAAAAACCTGAAAGCATAGGCATTAGTTAATATTACGATTAACAGCTTTCAACAGGGGCAGCCATTGGAATTTTAGGACTTATGTACACAAAAAAATGGCTGAAACAACTTTGCTGATGATCATTAATCATTGCATTTAGGCAGTTTCAATCCAAAGTAAACTACGTGTAAATTATGAACTGATGAAAAATAAATTATTTTAGGAGTGCTGCTGCTTTATAATATTGTAACATAGGTGTGAGCTCTGGAGCAGGTAACTAAGGGACTAATCTTACAAATATTTAAGGCTTGTA